CTCCCAAAAAAAAAAAAAAAAAAAAAAAAAGAACCACTGGTTTTGGCGATTTGTGCTCTGTCCAGGTTTGAAACAGAAGGATCCACCCTCTAAAACATCTTAGGTCTTACTTTCAAGCTACACCTTCAAATACAAGGCCCACGGCTGTGTCGAAGTTGACCCCTGTGACACTGTTCGTCTCTGGGATGGATGCACAATCCCTTCATTTCAACTCTGGCTCAATAACTGCCAGGAAGGACCTAAAGGGATGCTCGCATTTGTGTTCCAGCCTCTGGAATCCTGCGAGCTTCACACCTAATAACAATTTCTACTGACCACGGGCATCATTTGAATTAGTGGTCAAACGATTCCCACAGCCAGCTGGCTCTCTGGTCCTCCCCAAACAGCAATTTCTACAGAAACAAATGCCATCCTGAGCCTTAGAACTTAGAAATTAGAAATTAAAAATCTGAAAGGCTGGGCACCTGGGAGAGCGTTTACGCTGGCTAGCAAGACAAAGGGGACCGAGCGCAGCCGCCCAGAACGGCGTCGGGCTGCGCACACACCCCCGGAGGGGAGGCGTCGACTCCCGAGGTCTGGCTAACGTGGCTCACGGCGCTGGCCGGCGGTGATTTTATGAGCCTGAAGAGTATTACTTGGCCTCAGTTTACCAGCTATAGATAGTTGCTCCCCAGATATTCATCCCCAGCCTGGGGTTCTTGTTCCGTTGGCGGAATCGTTGACAATGGGATGGGGCTCAGGGGCTGAGGGCCAGCAGGGGGCTGCCCTGGGCGCAGGTGGAGCCGAGGCCAGCGCCCGGCTGTGGAGGTGGAGCGCGGGTGACTGGGGCGCAGCGACTTGGAACCGGGGGAGAAGCAGGTTCCCGAGCGGAAGCCCAGGGTCCACCCCCCGAGCCCAGCACGTCTCAGCGTTGTGAGAACGCCCCCCCTGTGACATACGCAGCGGCTTTAGTTCTAATAACGCCTTTCAACGGGAGGGCTAGGCAGCTGGATGCTGGGACACGGCGCCAGGAAACGAAGCGAGAGCCAGGCACGTCGGCGTAACTCAGCTCCCCCGTGACGAGAAAACAATGACTCCTGTGCCAGTGATGCACATGGGGAGGAAAAACAGAAGAATCAACTTGGATGCCAGGCCCAGCCTTCCGGACGTCAGCCCATCGACCAGCTTCTAGCGCAGGGGGGCTGGCGAGGAGGGGGGTCGTCCCCAGCAGGCAGGCGGGCAGTGTCCCGCCTCCTCCGCGTGGATGCGGGTGGCTTCGCCAGAGAGGGAGATGTCAGACCCGGTTCTCGTCTCGAGCAGATCCCGAGAGGAGACTCTCCCCGCACACGGCTGGGCCGGGGAGGGCGGCTTCTCAGAACAGCAGCCGGGGGGACGTTCCCAGCAGGGAGGCTGACCCGCCGGAGCCACGGCGCCGACTCTGGCGACGGGACAGTCCTACCTGCCTAACACATGGAAAACGGGCATTTCCCTTAAAATCACGAGGGTCAGAATGAGTTTCTTCAATCAGCTCAGCAACTCGGAAAACATGTCGGAGCAGCCGCCACTGAACTGAAAAGTCTATTCAACTAATAAAACAGGAAAAACACATTGGAAATTTACCGGAACCTTTCAGGTTGTCCCTTCATGACATGTAAGAAGTAATTATGACGCCGGCGAGAACAAAGTGCCCGAAATGCTTAGAAAAGGCAGTGACTGGCTCTCACTCAACAAACCTGCTTCCTCCTTACGTTGTTCTGGTCCATGAACCGAGGTGTCTTCTGCTTTTCAAGCAATCAAATCCGGTACCAACGACCACCGTTTAAGTAAGCGCAAATTTCTAGTCTATGAAGTCAGTCACCTGGCCTGAGGGGTCAGTTTTACTGGTGCAGGAGAAGGGGAATGGTGCGGAGGGGGCCAGATGTGATGAAATATCCGTCGCCCGGCGATCGGGTGAGCACCTTCTAGAACCATGTCTGCTCTCCCGACACCCGGGCCTGTCGGGGGGAGGGAGGGTGAGTCCAAACTGCTGAGGGTCCCATGGGACAGGTCCCTGAAGGTCAGCTGATGGCCAAAATCTCCACCCAGTTTCCAATCAGGCCTCTGAGAAACCTTATATGACCACTGAGCCACATGTGAAAACCAGAATGCTTTGGAGGAAGAACTGGTGAAATAAACAGACTTTCGTGGCCTCGGTGACTGTGAGAACTGAGGACATTTAAATCGTTTGGTACGACTGGCCCTACGGACCGACTCTCATTGCAGCAGACGTGGTGTTTATTTAAACCGCTCTCGAGTAATTACCCATCTAGAGCATTTATTTGCAGCTCCCCGGACAGGTGGGATTCTAGCAGGTTCCCGCTGGGCAGAACTCGACGTCCACCCGATGAATCCCCTTTTGGATTTTCAGCAGACACCCTGACAGGTTTCCGCGTGGGCTCGATGGGTGCCCACGGGCTGGAGGGTCTGCGTTCATGAGACTCGGGTCGGTGCCGGTGACCTGACGGGCGCAGGGGCAGCCACAGTAAGGAGCCTCCGGGCTGAGAGCTCAGCCACGCTCCGCCCAGAGCGGAACTGAAGGCGGACACTGTGCTTNCGGGCTGAGAGCTCAGCCACGCTCCGCCCAGAGTGGAACTGAAGGCGGACACTGTTGGAAATGTTCGCGAAGCCGCCACCGAGGAGGCGACGTGGCAAAGGATTAACAGGAGCCCCAAGTCAAAGCCAAATGAGGAAAAGCGTGGAGCTTAAAAAACAAAACCAAACCAGGGGGAGGGTAACACGTCTCCGGTGCCGGTTCACAGCTTGACGGCAGGAGGGACAGCAGCTCCTGTGCGCGTGTGTTCACAGGAACATCGCCCCCCACACACCCGCCTAATTTCGTCCCCTCTGCTCCGCCAGCATCGCGCCCCCTCCTGGCACCGCCCTCCCCTCCGGCCACCCCAGGGCCGCCGGGAGGCCAGCTCGGCAGCCAGCCAAGGGCAGTCCTGCTCTGCCCGGCCCCCCAGGGCCCGACGGCAAACCCCCGGCTCAGGGCTTTAAGAGCATGAAGGTCCGCACACGGTGGGTCACCACCAGGACTCACCGTAGAAAGTCAGCTGTCCCCTTGCGACGTTCTTCCCTCGGGAGTTTTCGGCCACACACTCGTATAAGCCGGCGTCCTCCTGCTGGAAGTGGGGGATCTCCAGGATTCCGTTCGACTTGTGCCTCCTGGCCTTCCTCGCGATCGGCCTCCCGTCCGCCCGTCTCCAGATAATCGTGGGCACGGGGCTGGCGGGAATGAAAAGCGGGGAGCGAGATGAGAGGGGAGCGTGCCTCCCACCTGGGCCCCTGCCCCTGACACCCCTTCCTGCTTGGTTCTAAACACGGAAGCTTGCCCGGGCCAGCGCCCCCGACGCCGTGCACCCACGATCACTATTATGATTTTATCTGTCTCCGCATCTCTGGCATTATTATGGTCTTAGTGTTTTTATTAAAATCAAAAACCTTTCGAAGCTTATGTAAGGTAATTTATTTCCCGTGCAATATCCTCAGGAAATAAAAACAGATTTTTATACGATCGTTGTGTTTTCTTCCTAGCACATCTGTTTTATTCTAAATCATAAAGATGGAAATAAGAATCTCCGTGCACACGTGTGGCAGGTGGGAGACGGCTGCAAATTCTCTCACGTTCCTCCCATCAGGAGGGGGCCAGGCCGCCTGCCCCTCGAGCCCGGCCGGTTCTTCCACTACTCGGACCATGGAAACAAGGCAGAAGCGGGCTGTGTCGGTTTCAAGGCTCAGGGGATGAGAAACTGACAATTTCCACTTTCTGTCCCCTGGATTCCTCTCTGGAGACTTCTCAGCTTATAGGGTTCCATCAGGAGGCTGGTTTGGGGAAACTTTACTTAAAATAGCGAGATAAGGAGAGAAGCCCCGTGTGGGTCCTGTGTGCCCCCAAGCAGCTCCCATCCCGGAGCCGTAAGGTCGGGACGCGTCTTAAACCACGAGAAGGGCGTCCCTGAGCCTGCAAATCAATGGTCCAGGGAGCTCGCCACAGCTTTTAAGATTCCAGCTTCCTAGCAGGGGCACAATTATTTACTTATTTATTTTCCACAAAAACACACACAGAGAAGCACTCGGTAAAGGCTGGCTAATCTCCGGGAACCCGAGGTGGTATTTAAAACGTTAAAGCTGCCCGGCCGGGCGTGGCTCAGCGGTGGAGCATCGACCTGGGATCCAGGAGATCGGGGTTCGATTCCCGGTCAGGGCACAGGCCCGGGTTGCGGGCTCGATCCCCAATGACTCTCTCATCATTGGTGTTTCTCTCTCTCTCCCTCTGCTGCCCTCTCTCTGAAGTCAATAAAGATATATAAAAAAATAAAAAAAAATTAAAAATAAAACGTTAAAGCTATCGGCCGGCTGCACTGCAGAGCCGTCGGAGGAACGCAGGCTCTTGGGACAGACGCCAACTCACAACCAGACGGGCTCTGCCCACCGTCCGCTACGGCGTCTACATCTCATGAGACACACTTTGTAAGCGCTTTTCAAACAACTCCTTGGACACGTCTTTCTGCCCCTAGCTGGGCGATGATGCTATGTTTTGGCGGCTGGAGGGACCCCCAAACGTGTCCGCGTGCACTGCGGGAGCCCAATTTGGGTCTTTTGTTCCGTTCCAGTGCCGTTCAGGGGGCACGAACGGAGCCCGATTCCAGCCTCTGCAGCGCCGCAGCGTGGGCCCGGCTCTGTCTCTGCGCAGACGGCTCCAAGGCGTCGCCTCGCAGGGTTCGCCCACCTCTCCCCAGGACCCAGTCCTGCTCTCACCTTCCCCCGGACCGACTTTCTTGATACATACGTATTTAAAATAAAAAAGGGACCGCATTGGACCGTTTGCTAATCTGCTTCTAGTCTCTTGGCGGCAACTCCGGGGCCTTTTCTGTCCTACGTGCGGTTTTGCCGCTGGATTTCAGCGTCTGTGCGGAGTCCGATCCTGCAACTGTGTCACGATTCACTTACTGAGAGTTCTCAGGACACACAGAACCGTCACTGCCCTGTATGTATCACAGTCGAGATGCTACTGTAGCTTCCACCTCCAGGACTGGAAACTATGGAAACTGGAAGAAACTTTCTATAGACCTGGAAGTAAATTTAAGAAAGGGAACTACTCCTTCCACGGTGGTTGTAAAACGCAAACTTCACGTGACTGGAGACTGGACTCTGCTGACGCAGGGGTCGGGCGGAGCGAGAGGAGCAGGGGGCAGGAGGGAGCCAGGGGTCGGCCGGGTGGGTGGGGTGGGGACTG